ATCTAAGCTCTCCCTGGGTTCTAAATTAATTCAAGGAGCAGCAGACTTGAGGTGATAAAATTTCTTTGTGCATGTTTTTGCTGAACTAAGAGTTAATGCTTAAAAGGGCATTGAAAGAGACAAGTTGGAAAACATTTCTATATCTTTTAGCAATACCCCCCGACCTGGGTTACTCAACATACAGTTTTAAGGAGGTAAAATAGCATAATGTTCATGAGTGTGAATTGTGGAGTCTAACTATGGAAAACAACCCAGCTCCAGTGGTTTCTGCATGTGAGACCGTGGGCATGTGAGGCCACAGTGTCCTCAACCTATAAAAGGGGGATATTGAATGTATCTACGTTGTAGGATTTCCTTTTGGTGAAAATTAAATAAAACTAAATATCAGTATTATTACAAATAATTAGTATATTATAAATAATTAATATAAACAATACAGATCTACAAAATTAAACCAAAACCTTTTTTCCCCATAAAATTCTATGTCCTAGGGAAGAAGTAATTAATATTCCAACTTTGTTTTTTATAATTCCTATCAATTTCAAGTCATTTGAGGACTCCAAGAATCTAGTACAACAACAATGAGCTTCCTTGCTGAAGCAACACATATATGATCATTTTGTAATGTTTGTAAAATGCTTCAGGACACCTCTGGTGAGAGGCCTGGGAGTGGGCTAGCCCATATTCAGGACATCTCTTAGAGGCACTGATAGTCATAAATCGGGCCAGTACCACCTCTCCCTGTGGGATCTCCACAGCACAGTATCCCCATTCCCCTCTTCCTGGAAATCTTGTGATCTTCTGGGAATCTCAGGAGTGGTACTGGACACTACAAATTTTCCTCTCCCCATATTTTTCATTTTTTAAAGGATGCAGCTATATGCTGTTTCCCTTTCTCCTTAACAAATATCTTGTTTTGCTCATTTCTTGGAAATAGAGTAGGAAAAAGCCACCTGATTAAGATTAAGATTTTCTCTGTTGAGATGACAATCAACTAAATAAAAAGAATGTCTTAACACCTGCAGGAACATTTATACTTATTAGCTCTCCCTGTTTTTATTTTGGTTTCATATTATTTCATAGGAAGATGCTGTTTGGAATAGAAAAGCTTCCATTTAATTGTGCATAAAACACTTGATCTATCATATTTATGGCAAACATAATAGTAA